CTCTCTCTCTCTCTCTCTCTCTCTCTCTCTCTCTTCCTCTCTCTCTCTCTATTTCTCTTTCTGTTTCTGCGTGTGTGTGTGAGTCTGCGTTTAAGGTGTAAGGTATAACTTCTTTTTATTTCATTTTCAAGAAAGATGTGTTTGATATCAAAAAGTTAATTTCGTGAGCACTTCAGAATTTTTTTGAGAAAGTTTCACCTGAAAGCTGAGACCTGTATTTTTAGTCTTCCACTTGTAAAGATACATTATATCATATAAGAAAGTTTTTGACGAAACAAAAGTTTATGGAAACTTGCTCTTCATTCATATAGCTTTAGCTGCGCAAAAGAAAAGAACAATGTATGTTGCCTCAGATATTTCACTTATAAGGAAGTAAATCATGTATTATATCAATCATATAGTACTTTTATAACTTATACTGTTCATACGTTTATATATTTTTTATAAAAATAGGTTATAAAACATTTTTTAAAAACATTCTTTTCACTGTCTAAATTCAATCATGAAATGATATTTCAACAGCCGACACCTTTCTTCAGATCACAAACAATGGTGAAGACCAACCGATGCACGTGGTATGCGTGACTTCACGGAATCCACGTGAGTTGTCTGGATATTCAAGTTTCTCGCTCATTTTTCTTTAATGAACACAGTGGAGCGGTTGATATTCTTAAAACAGACATAGGGATGATAAACGTGTTCTTCAATATGATGACGATAGATGTTATTTTTTATTCGCACGTTAGAAGCATAGAAATGAAACAGAGTAATTGGTCATGGCTTGAGACAAATTAGGGAATATAAGATAAATATTCATATTATACAGTATATTAGAGCAGAAACACAGATCAGAGTGGATTCGAATCGTTGAAAAGCTTATGTAGCTGATGATTAATTACAAGAGCATGAACGAACGATCATATTCGGGAAGTTCTTAATAATCATCTGCCCATTTTGATGTAGATAAAGAATGGTCAATGATTGCATTTCAGTTGGACTACAGCAAACAATCGAAGTTGCTGATGGTAGTAGTAGAGACTGTAGAACTGCGTGATTTGTTGGGTTCGAAGACTGAAAACAGTATCATATTTTTGGCTTGAAACAATAGACTGCTTCGTATACCTTCTTCAATGGGTATGAACATGTTCCGGCACAATATCCTGCCTCAAAGTATGGAGGAGCAATCACATACTTGTTCCATCCCAATTTCATGAAATCAACTGACAACGGACGTCGTGCACAAACCTTCAATATTAATTCCATGATTGTTTCTGCTATTTAATTGGGAGTAGACCTTTTCTTTCTCTTGAGCGTGTAACAACACAACTCTAACATCATTGGATGTTACCTCGCTCAACTCATCTATTCCATTATCACTGGTCTCATCTTCATTTTCATCTTCATCGGCATCAACTCCAAAGCCTTCCCATATGTCGTCTTTGATTTGCTTATGACGTCGTTGTGCTCTCAGCTTCAATAACAAAACAGTTTGATAACAAGAGTTTTTCTCACTTTAATTGACTTGTCTACCGTAGACAACTTCTTGACAACAGCTGGCTTACGCACTCTCGTTTCTTGATGCATTTCAAACTCTTTAGCTGCTTTTTGAGAAGAAGTGGACGTTTCTTCATTCTCGTTATAAACATAATACGCTGAAATTAAAAGAATCATCAGGTTTCTTGAGCTTTACAAACCATTTGTCTCACGTCTACGTCTCCGAGCTCGTGCAACTTCTTCTTCAACTTTCTCTCCATCAAGGATATTATCCGCTTGAGAGAAAACAAGGAGGAATGGGGTGCTTCTTCGTACCATTTCGCTGTAGGTTCTCATTTTAACATCTTTTCGATTGATCTGGATGAATAAGTAAGGTATATCATATTGATATAATAGAACTCACACGAACAACTAGTTGTTTTCCACCGAGTGCATGAGTTTCAACCATGGCTTTGGTTGAATCCCAAATAATCTCGTTATTGGTTGGGTTCAAATGATGTAGGTATTGAGATTCAACGCAATACTCATTGGTACATAATGCTTTTGCAGTCAGGGCCTTCATTCGCCGGCGAGAGATTGCACGCTTTCTCAAATGGAAATGGAGTTCACCTCGCATAATCTGAAAAAATTGTTAACAGTGTGCTCCAAGTCAGTTGAATGAGAAGTGAACAAAAAATCAAAAGTAATATCAACTATATTCTGAGATAATCACCTGTTCCCCTTCACCGATAGAAGAAATGTCGAAAATCAAAACTTCTTGACCATCAATTTTTCCTACGGATGGTTGTATGTTGCGTGCTATGTTACCATCATCCGACCCATCATCATTCACATAAACTTTGTACAAAGTCTTCATGTAATCCGTAGCTTGACGAGACGGTAATAGCAGAGGCTCCGTTGTGATTTCTGGATGTTGTATATGATCAGATGGTTTTGTATTGGAACATCAAACCTGTTGGAACTTGGTTGAAACCCAACATAACTCTGAGAGTTTCTTGAATAACGTCATTCTCAACGGTTTGATTAGCGAGAACATGTCTACTCAAGATACAAAACGAGAAAAGTTGGAAGTAAATCGCTGGGCTGGCCATTCCAAAGGCCATTTTGAAGAATAAACAAATTCTCCTCTTCTTCTTATATTGACTTCAGAGAGATTTTGATCTGAAATAAATAAATAAATTCATTCAATTATGAAGAGATTGTGGAAAAGCAAAAGCACAAGCGATTTCAGTTTAGCACTTATGAAAGAATGCTCACAAGAAAAATAAAAAGAATAAGAAGTTCCAAGAGAAAACTTGTAATCTGAGATTGGAAGAGTTAAGAAAATGGCAGACGAGCGAACAAATCACAAAGGGACCAACAAGACTCCTCAAGATGTCCCTTGTTGGACATCAAATGATGGATTCCAGCACAACGTTTTCGAGACATTCCGACATTGAACGAGCGATTTATGAAAAATAATGATGGTCAACTTGACAAAAGAATATCAAAAATTCTCAAAATTCAGACTTGATGGGCGAAGATCAACGAAAAAAACTGAAAGAAATATGAGTTTTGATTCAAAATTCGTATAGTTTAGCATTTGCACAACCGCTCGCCGCTTCTGCCAAATGGGAAAATGTAAAATGGATTTCATACAAAAAAACCGACCGTTCACTATGAAATATTAGTTGAACATGAAGTTTATGACATGTTATATGCTAATTACAAATCGATCAATACTTGTTGATTTGCTGTCACAATAAGAAAGATGAATGGAATAACTTGAAGGAGGAATGATGAGTTAATAGAAGAAAGATGAAAGCAAGTGATAAGACAAAGGTCAAAAGAGACCAAATAAGGTTAACAAAAAAAAACTTTTCCTTACTATTTCTCCTTATATCGTTAGAATATAACGTGAAAAGAGAATAAAATTATGTGTGGGGGGGGTGTTTATATGACAACAGAAGAACACATGATGTCCAGAATCTTGAAGAGATGTGGAGCAGAGTAAGAAGCAGGGAGAGAGATATACAGCACTGATGACTACTCTAGTAATAAACCAAACAAGAAAATACCTATTGAGTGACACATTTCAAAGCATCTCATCAGTTGGATAAGAGCGTTTTAACTATTTCAAGTGCAAACGGCAAAAATGAAAATCAAAGCGAAATTTGATACATACGGCCTAATTAGGTCATTTCATAAGAAACAAGAATATAAAGGTAATGCAAACACGTAGGAGCAGTTAGTTCATGTGTGATGAAAATAAAAAACATCTGTCTGACGTTCTTTAATAATGTATAGTTATGGTAACATATGCGAATTAAAAATTAAAAAATACGTTCTTTTTAATCTTTTTTTTGTATTCGCTTGAAGGTCAGCGACATGCCAATAGCTTTGTTCAAATTCATTAACTCGAATATTCTAAAATATAAAAAATTGTCGTCCTGTCGCGTGTGTGAACAAAACTACTCTCAGAGATTAGCAATTGCAACAAAAAGATTTTTTTGAGGCAAACAGAGGTTTCAAAGTTTTTTTTTCCTCTCTTTCCTCTTTTGTCTGCGACCATTGAAAACAAACGTCTCATCAAATCGGCTCTTTTAATGAATAAAAACCATCTCTTTATTCTATTCTTACAAGAGATTCATGAAACTGCTTAGTATTTAAGGGAAAGTACAAGAATCTGAATGAATGAAGTCAATCCTTGGCGGCTCTCTTTCATCGTTGTAACATCTTCTTCTCCTCCTTCGTACAAAGAAATTTCACCTGCGAACACAAACCATTAAATCATTCAATTTATGTATCTTAACATCTTCTGATTGCTTATCCTGATAATGGTTAACTTCAACGTTCTCACCTCGCTCTCCCTACAACCCAAAGAGACTCTCTCTCTCTCTCTCTCTCTCTCTCTCTCTCTCTCTCTTTCTCTCTATAACCTATTCTCAATGTGAACTATGGCTAACATAATCTAAACGCTTCTCGTTCTCATACTCTATCAACAATCACGACGTTTCTATATCACATAGGAGAAAACTCATAATATTATTTGAACGAGAAAAAAAATGAAGCGCATACCATCTGGAGAGCGCAACATTCGAAATTTGACTACCGTAGTGGTCATGAAAGAGGGGCGGAGCAGAGAAAAGAATGGGTGGGAGCAAGAATTCGTCGAAAGAGAAACAAAAATATGAAATACATTGCTAGAACATAACTATGAAGAAGAAAACCAATGTTTCCATAAATGAAGTTAAGAATAGTTGTCTTGGATGAAACACTTAGAAACGATGAGTTGGATATTAGCTGACTTGACTGTAAAATTTTTTTTAGCTGATATGCACTATGCAAAATCTGCAGAGCTTAAATAAAAATTGAGAAAGGAAAGTTAAAGTACGTGATGATGGCAGAGGGTTGTCACTAAGCATCTGAGTCGATGTAAGGAACAACATAGTGATCGAAACTAATTGATGATCTATCCATTTATCTCTCTCTTCTTTCATTTACTCATCAAAGCTTCCACAAACTTTATTGTTTCTTAAGATAACATTGAAAGAGCAACTGTTTCTTCATCCGTGACAAGACCTCCGACATCATTTCCGATGAAATCGTTTAACGAAATTGCCTTCTCATTTCGAAAAAATGGTGATTCGAGAAAAGTGAGATTGAAAGATGGGAGAAGAAGCAATTAGGCTCAAAAACATCTAAAGAACGTTTTCGATTACCTGAAACAGAGTGGGATTGAGATTATTGAGAAGGTGAAGAAGAGGAGCTTATCCTCTCATAACACTTGGAAGTCATTCGTCTTATTTCCTTTATATCACTAATGTCAGGACACTATGAGAGAAGAAGATGTAAGAATGAAATTTGTCCTACAAGACAACAGCATGACTTTGAAATCATGTTAAATCACCAGATGATGAAGCGGCTCCACATTTTCATATCAGAGCTGTTATTATTTGAGAAATCCTCATAAATATAGATATATTTGAATATTTGAGCTTCAGCTCATTGCTAGCAGGGCATCGTTCCAGTAGAACACATGTGATTGGAAGCTTACTTGCGGAGCGAATTGGAATTTGAATATTAAAATTTACAGATTCATTTACTAATTTTATATAATATTAGTTCTACACGAATCGTGAATTTTCTTCTAATAGCAGCTTATTAGAGCAATATATTAGTGTTTCAAAGGATTGCGATTTACTCATCTGGAAGAATGATTTTTGAATTTCTAATGAATCATATACGGTAAGCAGAATTAGCTCATTATTACTTCATCGTTCGTCTTCCTCGTATTACTGAGTTTGAGAGCAGTTAAATGAAATAAGAAGGTAAATGAGATTTGGGAAAAACGCCATCGAAGCTCAAAGATGTTCAGGTGTTCTTCAGCTGCTTTTAATCCTTAGATGCGTGTGGAGTTTGTCTAGAATGAGTTGACAGCAATCATATGCTTTTTGGTATATATCATAATCCCAATGAGGCTCAGCTATCATATTTGATTTATCTCACGTGCCTGACGTGAAATTGATTCAGATTATTTTCATTTTTTGAAGTTACGCATTTTGGAGCGGTTGTGCACCGGCTATTTCTCAAAACAAAAAAATCTTTCGAAATATTTTTTTCGAACGTATAGTTTCTCAAATATATAAACAAATGCTTTTTTCAATATTTACACAAGAAATCATTTTATTCGTCATTAATGGTATGGGATAATATAGGAATTTATATCATTCACTAGACTATTGTCATTCTCTATGGTTAACCAGTAGCCTTCAGAAGCAATTCAACCTGACTGTCACATCGGTTTCTTCAAGTCGAACATGATGAAGAAGAAGAAGAAGAAGAAGAAGAGGAGGAAAACGAAGAAGAAGAAGGAGAGAAGAGACATTCTATAAAGTGACCGCCATTGCCGCGCGCATACCGTATGCGTTGCGTATAGAAAACGCAGTTGCATATGAAAGGTATGGTCAGATGGCTATTTTGCAAATTAATATTATTAATAATGTTTTATATGCTTCTCTAATGTTATAAATGAAAACAAGAGCTAGAAGTTGTACTGCTCATCTTCGTCACATTTGCTGCTCGCTTTGTTTGTATTCGTGTAATATACAAGGCAGTCTTCTGATTCTCCCTGTATAATCTGTGATAGTTTGCCTACAACTAAGTTGACCATCGGTCTTACGGAGTTCTTTGTACATTCGCAACGTCTTCAAGAGATCTTTCTCTAAAGATGAAAGAGGGGCTTTTGTTGATGAGCAGGCTGAAGTATCACTCTGATTTTTCTCTTCTTCTCGGTCTGCTTCTTCAAGCTTCTGACTTACACCGAATATTATACAAGTTTATGCAGATATTCATATGATTCCATGTTTTTCATTTACTATGTTTTCTATTTTAGGAAGTTTATTATTAGTAATACATTTACCTCTCATGTTTTATATTTTCGATTGTACATAACATCATCAGGACAGGCATTATCCACGTGGATGTGTTTCGTTACATATTCCGGTCGTCGGACAGTTTAATTATCCTCTCTCCCTCCATTTTCCCTCTTCCTCCTTCGTCTTCTTTTTTTCTTTTTCCCTCTCTAACTCTATTTCTCTCACCTTCCTCTCCTTTTGTCTTCATCACTCTTTATCTTGTTTTTCCTTACTACGTTAACTGTTCCCTCAATTAATGTCTCATCCTGATAGGGAAGCTTATTTCACCAACTAAAAAAATTTTGATTCAATCAGATACTATCAGTATCACTTCGACTGAAAAAAATTGTCTTCGACACATTCCAAGCGTTTCTTTCTGGACAAGTCTTTGCATAAGGAAGTTTGAAAATTCAGGTTTAAGCATTTGACGTTTCATATCTTCTGAATACCTTCCTTCTCCATTTGTTCTAAACATGGCTCAAGACAAACAAATAAAACAACGCAAAACTATCATCAAGCTGCTTGTTTTCTTGCAAAAGCAAGTCTTCCTTTTTCCATTTCAAAAGTTTCAGAAGAAAAGGTTTGAGTGGTTGCTTTTTTTGCCGACACAGCACTCTCATGACTCATTTTTTTGCCCTCAACTTATCCAGCTTATCTCCAACCTTTTTTAAAATCTAATTTTTTTATGAATGAGAATAAGAGATGGA